GTAGTGAGGTTGGCCCAGGATCGGACATTGTTTCATTCTGCTGTGCATGGGATCGCTATGAGTTGGTTCCGACTCGATGGCACTTGACAACAACAACAACATAAATAACTTTGATATGTTTAGCCAAATAGTCTCAGCCAAAACTAGGATTGTTTATCAACAAAATAAATCAGTCTATTCATTACTAAATACACGTTTTTTCACCTTTCAGACGGGAAAATGTATACATTATCAAATTTATCTGGGGAAAAAAATCTATAGAGTGAAAACTTCTTATTACAATGCACTTTCTTATTCTAGTCCTATTTTGGCCCTTACATAAAATATAAATGTGAAAGTGTATTTAACAAGAGTATTCAAATTCTGCTTAGTTCAAATTAAGCTTCAAGCATTAGCTCATTTTCCTAAATGGTTTCTTAAAAACAAATAAGTATAGAGAGAACAAACGAGATGGCAGAGTGGGTGGAAGTGCCGTGAGGAGCTCCATCAGCAACAATACAGAATACTAGACCAAGTAGGCTCAGAGGATGGTCCCAGAACTCTGAATTACATATAAAGGAATATTTAGAAGGTTGGAAGGCTTACAGCTAGGGGAATTTGTAGCAGAAGCAAGAAATCAATTTCTTTCTAATTCAAGATGCTCAGCTGCTACTGAGACCAAGCAGAGGAAGGATCAGAGCAGCCATGGATGCCTGATGGAAACATGGAGATAAGGGTGTGGACATTCTTTTTTTTTTTTTTTTTATCTGATCATTGGTCTCTCACTGTCTGTGCACTTCCATTCTGGTGACTAGAGGTGGTGCCTGAGTGAGTGGACACCCCACCCACACCCTCGGAGGGTTCTACTATGCATGCACACAGATCTCCTCAAAAATGAAAGTGATGGTTTCCACTTAAAACCAAACAGCAGTACAAAACAGCCACAGCTGGCCCTGAACTGTTTATCACTAGGAAAAAGGCCTGAAAGGGGATTTTGGAGTGGGACAGGCAGACTAAAAAGGAAATAGGCTGAAAATTAAATCCTGTGTTATGTCACAATGACCAACAGTGGCATCTTGAAATTTCTCAGGCAGAAGAGTGAAAAGGGAAGATCATCTCCTGATCACATCTACCTGGAAGCAATCAGAAAACATAAAAAATACCAAAACACACACCCATCTAAGTATTCAGGCCACAGATAACTCCTGAATATGCCCCCAAAACAAAAACAGATGATCATATCAACACATGTCCAGAAACGAGATAAAGTGACTGAGGTAAATGAGCTGGAAGTAGAACTACACTTCATACTTGAAGATGGGCAGGCTTTGGAAATGCCTGAGAAGGAATTCAGAAAAATGATTATAAAAAGTATCAAAACACTATACAATGGGGTTGAGAAAAATATGGAAGAAGTCAGGAAAGCACTATAGGAACAATCAAATAAAATAGATACAGCATTGGAAACAATTAAAAACCTACAGAAAGAGGTCCAAATGATTAATAATAGAATGTCTGAAATGGACAATACACTGAAAGGGCAAAAGAGTAGAATTGAAGAGATAGAAGCCAGAACTAGTGAGCTAGAAGATAAATCTCTCAACACTACTTAGAAGAGCAAACACAAAAAAAGGATAAAAAAATCTGAAGAAGACCTAAGATTCACGTTGGAAAACATGAAGAAGAATAACTTAAGAATTATCAGCATTCCAGAACAGGAAAAATCACATAAGCCCACAGAAGAGATATCTGATGAGCTTCTGGAAGAAAATTTCCTTAACATCCTGAAAAGCGAAAAGATAAGCATTCAAGAAGCTCAACAAACTACAGGAAGGACAGATCCTAAAAGACACTCACCAAGACATATGATAATTGAGATCTCCAAAATAAAAGATAAGGACAGAATCCTGAAAGCAGCTAGGGAAAAGAGAAGTGTAACATACAAAGGCAAGCAAATCAGATTAAGCTCGGATCTCTCAACAGAAACTATGCAGGCAAGAAGGCAATGGGGAGACATATATAAAACCCTGAAAGAAAAAAATTTCCAACTAAGAATCCTCTACCCAGCAAAGCTGTTAATCAAATATGATGGTGTAATCAAAACATTCCAAGATAAACAAAAGCTAAGGGATTTTGCCAAATCCAAGCCTGCTATGAAAAATATCCTAAAGGAAGTTCTGTGGACTGAGAACCAATAAGAACAAACAACAACCAGAGAATGATGTATGTGGCAGCATCACCCTGAACTTAATTGACAAATGGCAGAGTCAAGAACAGAATAAAATGATAAGAACAGAGGATCTGGGAGGTCAGTCTATGATCAAAACAATTACAATGCTTCAGTCATAAGGGTGGTAAAAATCTAATTTGGAGACAATACCTGAAAATAGAGTAAAAAAATAAGGCCCTTGCTTAATCTGGTGTTCTCTCTATTATGGATTTTTAAAACTCAAGAGTCTTAGTCTAGTTTCATAAAGTAAATTTAAAAATTACATGTCGATCCTAACAAGAGAAACTCAGGGTTTCACTTACTTGTTATTAGAAACAAGTTATTATCTTACAAAAATTAACAAAATAGTTTGGTTCAGAAAAATGAAAGTTACTACAAAATCTGATACAAAGGAGAATCATACAAGCTACTTGTTATCTTATTTGTAAAATGGTCAATAGTAGATGCATGTTATACAGAACTAATAGGAATTTTAAGTTAAAGGATCCCCTAATTGTTTCACAAGAAGCTCTGGTAGCATAGTGGTTATGAATTGGGCTGTGAACCACAAGGTCAGCAGTTCGAAACTACCAGCTGTTCCAAGGGAGAAAGATGAGGTTTTCTGCTCCTGTAAAGATTTACAACCTCGGAAACCTTGTACAGGGTTGCTATGAGTCGGAACCGACTCCACGGCACACAACAACAACAATTGTTTCACCTGACTCTCAGTTAAGATAGATAGTCTATGATATTCCATCCCAAAACATATAGTTCACATTAAAGTAAGGATGTGAAACCAAAGATCCCAACAAAGCCTGACTCCAAAGTTCTTCCAAGTATCTTACCTGCTTTATCTCACTTTTTAACTGTGTGATCCCAGCTCGTTCCGTTTTAGTTGCTCCAACAGCACCAATCTCGTGGATAGAAATAGCAGGGCTGATATTTGAATCAGTGGGACGAACTATACATAATATGACAGGATAAAGAGAAAGGATAATCAAGTTCAGATTTATCCCTCAACAAGCTAAAAGGACCTAGATGTATGTCCTTTATTTTTTCAATGAATAAAAACAACAACAGAAAACTATAACATTGCTATTCAAAGTATGGTCTGTGGAACAGCAGCATCAGCATCACCTGGGAGCTTGTTAGTAGATCTCAGGTCGCACCCCAGACCTAATGAATCAGAAATTGCATTTTAGAAAGATTCCCAGGTGTTTATGTACATTAAAGCTTATGAAGCATTGCATCATAACTTTCTTTAATCACTTGAAGGTTTGCCATCTATCCGTCTGACATTATTTATTTGTACTAAGCCTAAAAGTTGAACATTACAGATGACCCTTGTCAAACCAACCTTGTGGTCCAGTGCATTACCATATTATATATATGTTGTTGTTAAGTGCCGTTGAGTCAATTCCAACCCATAGTGACCCTGTATAGTTTTTCCAAGGAGCAGAACCACTGACCTTGCAGTTCAAATGACTTTGCAGTCTGACGCATTAGACCACAGAACCACACCAGGACTCTCTCCTTCTCTCTCTCGCTCTTTCTCTAAAGAGAACCTTGGATCAAGGAACTGGCTCACAAATATAGAGATAGGAGCGTCCCAAGTGCAGGCCAGGTGAACCAACAAGACCCAAGTGCAGGCCAGGTGAACCAAGATCAGCAGGCTGGCCTGTAAGGCAGGAATCCCAAGTTAAGGCACCTTGGTGCTGGAGCAGGGGCAGTATCAGGGTGACAGGTGTCTAAGGCCTGGTCAGTCATGCTGTAGAACAGGCAGAATGGAGCACATGAGCCAGGATGACAGGAACAGGCATGCAGGTCCCTCCAGTGATTGTCCAGTTTTCTAGGCACACTTGGCAGGTAGGCTCAGCAGGCAAATACACAATAGAGCAGGTCACTGGAGGATGACCCAGATCTAGTTCCAGCAGGAAAGAGTGTGAGTCTTCCCTGCAGGTCCATTATATTTGGAGCAGGCCACACCCGCAAGGAAACATCTAGTCAATTGATTGGCTTCTCACAGCCAATCATCATAGAGTTAACTATCAACTGTCAAACAACTGGGAATCTTGGCTCAATCAAGTTGATGCAGAACCTAACGATCACAATCCCATTGTTGCAGCCACTGTGTCAATCTATCTTACCAGGAGTCTTTTTTTTGCTGACCCTCTACTTTACCAAGAATGATATCCTTCTCTTATGGACCAGTCCCTTCTGACATGCTCAAAGCACAAGAGACAAAGTCTTGCCATCCTGGCTTCTAAGGAGGATTCTGACTGTACTTCTTCTAAGATAGTTTTTTTCCCCTCTGGCAGTTCATAGTACTTTCAATATTATTCACCAATACCATAATTCGAATGCATTGATTGTTCTACAGTCTTCTTTATTCATTGTCCAACTTTCACATCCATATGAGGTGATTGAAAATATCACGACTTTGGTCAGGTGCACCTTAGCCCTCAAAGTGACATTATTATTTTGTTGCTTTAAAAATATTTTATTTATTGCATTGACATTGAAATGTCTGGGACAAAAGAAAAAGTTGCCCACATTTCCACAATTTGTCACCTATTTAATTTTCTAGGCTTGTTTCCATTTCTTGCCCATATAACAGAAAATTAAAATTTAACATAACTGTTGTCAAAACATAAATGTCAGTTTTTTCTTACCCCTACTAAATGTGATGTCCTGGTTTAGTGCTGTTGGATAAGCACTGGAGTGCTAATCATAAGGTCAGTGGTTCATGCCCACCAACCATTCCTCAGAAACAGGGTTGTTATGAGTCAGAACCCATCAGCTCCTGGACCTGTGAATCCTGGCTATTTAAAAAACAGCACTATATATTGGACACTGGTTTAGAGCATATACAGCCTCCTAGAGAATATTGTCCCTATCCTGCAAGATATTTCTACCTAGCTGGTGCTGTATTTGTATCTTTAAAAGACCATTGCCTTGCTCAATCAAGCCAACTGCTTCATAATGATGAGGGACATGGTAAGACCAGTGAATTCCATGAGCATGTTTACATTGCCTCACTTCATTAGCTGTGAAGTGAGTCCTGTGATCCAAGGTGATGTTCTGTGGGATTCTGTAAGTCCACATATGGCAGCTTTGGCAGAAGCATGTCATACAGGGATGGCAAATCCATATCCAGAGTAAGTATCTATTTCAGTAAGAACAAAACACTGCCCTTTCCATTAAGGAAGTGGTCTGATGAAATCAACCTGCCACCAGGTTGATGGCTGATTCCCCAAGGAATGGTCCCATATTGAGGGCTCAGTGTTGGTTTCTGCAGCTGGCAGATTGGGGACACAGCAGTGACTCTAACCAAGTCAGTCTTGGTGAGTAGAAGCCCATGCTGCTGAGACCATGCATAATCTCCATCACTGCCACCATAGTCACTTTGTTCATTGGACAATGACAGGAGTGACTGGAGAAAAAGCATGATTCGTGTCCACAGAAAGTGTCATCCTATCCACTTGATTGCTAAAATACTCCTCTGCTGAGGTAACCCTTTGGTAAGCATTCAAATGACACCACAAATATCTTCACTTTTTTTGTTTATTCAGAGGGGTCTATCCACATACCTCTTCCCCACATCTCCTTGTCACCAATTTTCCAATCATGTTCCTTTCAAGTCCCTTACCATCCGGTCAAACCATTGGCTACAGCCCATGAAGCAGTATAGGGTATCCCATCTGGCCTTTTCTCCTTCCAAGCAAATGAAAATCAGATGTACTGCTTGAAGAGCTGCCCATTGGGTAGATTTCCCTTCACCACTGTCCTGCAAGGAAGTCCCAGAAAGGGACTGTATGTAGTACTGCTGCTACCCAGTTTGATTGGTACCTCCATATCATGCAAAACCATCTGTAAATCAAGCATGAGTTTTCTATTCCTCAGTCAACTGATCATAAGGAACACCCACAAGGCTTTAGGCATAGACTGGAAGAGGGAAACTAGTGTAATAGAAGTAGAGACCATAGGTATTTGGGCCACGTCCTCATGCAACTTACTTGTGCCTTCAGGTCCTGCTTGAGTCCTGTCTTCCATTTAATGATGGAGTGCTGCTATTCACATCCAGCTTTATAACTCTGTGTCAGATGATACCCAGTTCATAATGGGTAGCTCTGGTTGCATGGAGACTTGGTGGCCCATGGTTAGGTGTTAAGTCTTGACTCAGTAAGACTAAGTATCAAGACTCAGTAAGACTCAGCAACAAGCCAAAGGCTGTTTCTTAAAAGGAAAGTAATTATCTGTAGAGGATGGCAGGACTTTGCTCAAACATCCTAAGGGTCTGTGCTAAGATTCACCAATTGGAGCCTGCCAAAGAATCCAAACTACATCGCTATCTGACCCTGACATTTCAAGTACCATTGGATCAGATGGATCATATGGCCTGAGCAGCAGAGTGGCTTCTACAGTAGTCTGAACCTGGTGCAGATCTTTCTTTTATTTTTGGTCGCACTCAAAACTAGCAGCTTTTTGGGTCACTTGATTAGCTGGAGTGTTGTTAAGTGCCATCTAGTTGGCTCCAATTCATAGTGACACTGTATAGGTTTCCAGGGTTTTAAATCTTTGTGGGAGCAGAAAGTCTCATCTTTCTCCTCAAGAGTTGTTGGTAAGCTCAAACTGCAGACATTGTGATTCACATCCAGTGCTTTTTCTATTGAGCCTCTGTGCTCCCAGGTTGAAGTAGTCACATTCAAATGAGGGATATTTTGCCTCAAAAATCCAAAAAGGGCCACCAGGCATTGTGCCTCTTTTTCAGTCATCAGGGGGCCATATACAACAACTTATCCTTCACTTGAATAGGAATATCTTGACATACCCCAGACCACTGAACTTCTAGAAATTTCACTGAAGTGGAAGGCAGCTGAAATTTTTTAAAAAACTTTTTTATTGTGAATTGAGTGAAGGCTTGCAGATAAGATCACCAGCTTTATATTCATCAAATTATACACTTTGTTTCAGCTCAATGATTACAATCCCCTTCCTGCAACAACAGTTATCCTGCTATTCTACTATAGGGTGTGGCTCCCCATTTATATATTTCGCAAATGAATAAAGCAAAACTATTTTATGTATACATACTATATATATTTATATAGAGAGAGTTCTGGTAGCGTAATGGTTACAAATCGGGCTGCGAACCTTAAGGCCAGCAGTTCGAAACTACCAGCCACTCCGTGGTAGAAAGATGAGGTGTTCTGCTCCCGTAAAGATTTACAACCTCGGAAACCCTGTACAGGGTCGCTATAGGTCGGAACTGACTCGACGGCACTTAACAACACACAAAACAATATGTGTGTGTGTGTGTGTTCATTTAAATGTCCAGAGGGCACATTCTGCAAGCCAGCTTCCTGCCCAAAGACACACAGCCTTATTCAGTCCATGGCCTAGAGCCTGTAGCTGTTCTGTTTCTCCATGCCACTGCCTCTGCCACCATCTCTGGTATCCTTGCTTTTCTAGGCAGTGATCTCATGCTTTCCCTTCTTGGTAGTCCTGGGGTCATCAGTTCCTGAAATGAAAGATTAACTCCTCACACACCTTTTAGTTACACATCTACAATTTTAGCTTTGATGATCATAATTAATCCTGCCAAAAATTACTCACAATTGAATCATAAAATCCTATCACCATCATCCCCCATTCCCTTTCACCAGATCCATCTGGAAAAGAGGAAAACTATTCAGTGGGGATTCTACCTTAAATCCGGAAACTAAGCATACCCATGAAAGTTTGTAAACTAGCCATTTCATGCTTTTATAGCCCCCTCCCATTTTTGATAGTCATTGTCTAAGTTGTCCATCCCTACCAAGCCAGTACACTGAAGAAATAAGCTTGTTTCTTGATATGAAGAATTTTTCTATTTTGGTTGGAATTTTGAGCAACTGCATCCATAAGCAAAAGTCTAGTTCATCAAATTGTAGCAATTTGAATTTGCTCACAGTATCAAAC